CAGATTTTGGTGCACGTTAAAGAACCCCAGGTGGTCGAAATTTCCGGAGCCCTCCACTACGGCGTCTCTCATAATAATATGGTCGTTTTGAGACGTTAAACCCCGACATATAAATCAAATAATTTGGTGTTGAAGCGTTGAAAACTTCGAGAATGCAGTGTACAAAACGACCCCAGCTGCATACAGCCGTTGCTTATATCAGTTTCTAGTGGACGTCATACAGCCCGCAAGGTGGGACAATGTACCCGTTCCTTTTTACGGCACTGTAAATAGAAGTGCACGAGTTTCCTAATCCATCTGTCATTTTATTCCAGATGATAACAGCCATGGCGTGCCGAAAGGATGAATATCGAGAAAGGAAACATGAAAAACGGCTGTGATAACGCGTTATTTTCCCCAAATGGTGATAACACAGCAGGTGTTCCTTTTGCCTGTTTGGTAATCTTTTTTTTTTTTGCATCAATTGCACAAGTAAGACCAAGCCCGTAGCCAGAGGGTGTTGAGCCTAAGTGCCTGGGCAACTCCACTCCATCCCGGAATTCAGAGGGTGGAGGGTGTTTTATCCAGGACAAATAAAAAATATAGGTGTTTTTCAAACCCTTCAACAAGTTTCCCTTTCCCCCCCCCCCCCAAAAAAAAAAAAATCCCTGGCCACGAGCCTGCGTAATATTGTATGACATCATCACACTCTACGCAAAATAAAAAAATATGTAAAACATATGCAGAAGCTCATCATCAGTATCAAATGAAAGATCAAAGAAAACGCTTGAATTCAAGTCGTGTGAAATGTACCTGTCATGACAAAATGTTAGTGTGTTATCGCCTGTGCGTGTGTGTGTGAGAGAGAGAGAAAGAGTAGACGAAGCGTTAGAACTGGTTTCGTTACCTCGTCCGATGCTGAAGATGGAAAAAATACTAATGAGGAACGTGTGGCGATAATCCAAACACGACAAAAAGGATGAGCTTATTGCCAAAATATTTATCATCCTATACGTTACGGCTTGTGTAATATGTCGCGATGATGTTTTGAGCTCTGGGAATTGTAAAAGCGCCACGAATAATACTTTTTGCGTTCTTTGACCTTTTAGACAGCGCCCACAACTTGAAGGTTCTCATTTCTGAACTTCTTTGTAATTTCAATGGTACCCACAGCAGTTTCTGCGTCAAGGAGTTGATAACTAATTCATATACTCCGCATAATATACCTAGTTTAGCTAGTATAACTACTAAACCTATCATCATTATCATCAGCCTGACTATTTCCACTGCAGGACAAAGCTTCTCTCATGTTTCGCCAGTTAACTCGGTCCTGTGCTTGCGGCTGCCAATTTATACCCAAAAACTTCGTAATCTCATCTGCCCACCTAACCTTCTGTCTCCCCATTAGCCACTTGCCTTCTCTGGGAATCCAGTTAGTTACCCTTAATGACCAGCGGTTATCCTGTCTATACGCACTACATGCCCGGCCCATGCACATTTCCTCTTCTTGATTTCAACTATGATATCCTTAACCCCCGTTTGTTCCCTAATCCACTCTGCTCTCTTCTTGTCTCTTAAGGTTACACCTACCATTTTTTCTTTCCATTGCTCGCAGCGTCGTCCTCAATTTAAGCTGAACCCTCTTTGTAAGTCTCCAGGATTCTGCTCCGTAGCTAAGTACCGGCAAGATACAGCTGTTATATAACTTCCTCTTGAGGGATAGTGGAAATCTACCTGTCATAATTTGAGAGTGCTTGCCAAATGTGATCCACCCCATTCTTATTCTTCTAGTTACTTCACTCTCATAGTTCGGCTCCACGGTTATTACCTGTCCTAAGTAGACATAGCATGTTACAACTTTAAGTGGGTTATTGCGTATCTCGAAGCGCTGCTCTTTTCCGAGGTTGTTGTACATTATTTTTTGTTTTCTGCAGATTAATTTTTAAGACCCACCTTTCTGCTCTCCTTGTCTAACTCAGTAATCATGAGTTGCAATTCGTCCCCTGAGTTACTCAGCAATGCAATGTCATTGGCGAAGTGCAGGCTACTAGGGTACTCTCCATTAACTCTTATGCCTAACTGTTCCCATTCTAGGCCTCTGAAATCCTCCTGTAAACACGCGGTAAATAGCATTGGGGAGATTGTATTCCCCTGCTTTACATCCTTCTTGGTTGGTATTCTGCTGCTTTCTTTATGGAGTACTATGGTAGCAGTTGATCCCCTGTAGATTTTTTCGGGGATGTTTATATATACTTCATCGACGCCCTGATTCCGCAGTGTCTGCAAGACTGCTGATATTTCTACTGAATCAAACGGCTTCACGTAATCTATGAAGGTTATGTATAGTGGTTGGCTATACTCTGAGCATTTCTCTATTACCTGATGGACAGTATGAATGTGGTCGAATGTTGAGTAGCCTGTTGGAAATCCTACTTGTCCCTTGCAGTTATCCTGGCTGCAATATGCAGTTAAATACAGGTAAACCTCTATTTAACTGCATATTACAGCCAGGATTGTGAATGTCTGACAAACTGTGACGAGCTTTTTTAAGGGTGTGGTAGGCTCCATGATTTGAAATAGGCACCGCATCTCAAAAGGACCACCGCGATAACACCCTAATTTTTCTGTCAGGTTTTAGTTAAGGACATCTATCCGCCAGGGCGTTTCTCACGTATGATTAAAGAGGCATATTGATTCCGACTGACTCTCCTTTTACCTATAGCGGTCAGAGTGCACTGTGACATGTTGTGCTAGGACGTCCTTTCTGTTTCATTTTGATGTGGGAAGACTGCGGAAGACTTAGCCATGAACATTACTTTCGGGGACAAAATAGAAAGTAAACTGAGAGAGAGAGAACAACTTTATTTAAAAATAAAAGAACCCCAGTCCGGGTCTACTAAAGAAAAAAACCTATCCATCAGACAGGCCTTGAAGTTGCAAATGCTGGAGCAGTGTCTTCATGATGTCCGGGAAGGAGTCCGCCAGCCACTCCTCCAGGGTCTTAGGTTTATAGGTATGTGCTTGAGGCTCTTGCCCAAGGCGGCGCGACCACCCGGACAATCCCACAGAACGTGAGCATCATCCGCGAAGCCAACACATGCCATGCAAGCAGGAGACCCGTCTTGTATGTAGTGTTTAATGTGTGGTGTCATTAAAGAGTGAGTTTGGGCACGCCTTATCAGGGATGCCTCGCGTCTCGTCATGAAATGAGGAGGATCGGGATAAACCCTGCGATTGTTGCGCATCTCATCTGAGCGTTCGCGCCTCTCCAAACGTGCCATAGCAAGTAATTCGGTGCGTTTCAGTGAATCCGGCCACCACAGAGGAGGGCCTGGGAGATTTACGCAGGACATGGCATGCATGTGCCACTTCATTCTCTCTGATCCCCGAGTGACCAGGTATCCACTGTATGCGAATACGTAACGAAGGGTGGTCAGCTAAGTGCTTCGTAAGTTTGTTGTAATGCGCGTCTGGAATGTCACCTGTCGCGAGGGCTCGACAGGCAGCTTGGCTATCTGTACGTATCAGTAAATTACGGGCATTTGGATTGGGCATGGTAACTGCTTCTATTATGGCCGTGATTTCTGCAGTGCATTGCGTACTAATGTTGTAATGGAAGCCCCATGACAGTGGTAGTCCATCAGAAGCTATTCCCGTTCGAAAGCCCTCGCCGGTATGAGGCGGAGATGCATCCGTGTACAAGATCCATTCTCCTGTGGTTTCTTGGAGATGTTGTACTCGTGATTTACGTCGTCCTGTTTGGTTATCTCGATACATGTAAACTGACGAATATGTGCTTTGGAAGAGAAGTAAATCAATCCACTTCATTGAACAGAGAATGCGTTCTAGCAGTATTACAACTACGGTATCCTACAGAAACAATCGGATGATTTCGCTCAGAACAATCATCACAGTGAATAACCGTCACAAGAAGTGAACCAAGGCACCACTTCCCTTCCTTGTTCGCCATGGGTACGGGAAGTGTTAATCAAATGCATTATGTATGCACAACAAACATCCACAGAAACATTTCAACTTTTGTGCATACGTCATCATCATCATCAGCTTATCTCACGTCCATAGCGGACGAAGGTCCTTCCCAATGATTTCTTGCCAACCTTTTCCTGCGCCAGATTACACACACACACACACACGCACAACACACAAACCTACACACACATACATACATACATACATACATACATACATACATACATACATACATACATACATACATACATACATACCTACATACATACATACATACATACATACATACATACATACATACATACATACATACATACATACATACACACACACACACCACATACATACACACACATACACACACACAACACATACTACATACATACATACATACATACATACATACATAACTACAGACATACATACATACATACTACATACATACATACATACATACATACATACATACATAATACATACATACATACACCAACACACACACACACACCACAGTACATACATACATACATACATACATACATACATACATACATCAGACATACATACATACATCATACATACATACATACATACATAAGGCGGTACTTAATTCACAAAATGCACCTCATAAGTGTTGAGGGAAAACGTGTACATATGCTCGACCACACTGTTAGTAGTTCTACGAAATTTGAGTCCGATTAATCACCGTTAATGCAAGAGTTCAAATGGATTGACGCAGAGTGACGTCGCACTTTGCGTGCCAACCCTTCTATATTACGAATGCTTGAATGGAGAAACGGAAGCTGCTCCGTTTCCAAAAGCTGCTGGCTCGCAGCAAAAAAAGCGACAGGTTTTGCAATATCCAAAACGCAGAGCAGCGTCTCAGCCGTCCTACGCTACCGATAATGAATATTTCTCGTCTCCCCTGAGGAGCTCGGCGTACGAGAGAACGCAACAGCATGAATATATGTACGAGGCGAAGAAGCTCCGAGGGGAGTGCGCGCGGCCAACTTCCTCATTGGCGGCAATGTCACCGTCGGCCCGGCAAAGGAGTCGGTCGGCCCTTGGTGGCTTTCTCACTACAGGCATTGTGAGCGATCAACGCACTGGGCGTCTGGGTAACAAGCGAACACGCCGGCGAAAGGTGAGACTCCCGTCGACTCCGCTCGCGCTGCACGTCGCGCCTTTCTACGAACTGGGGACACCGAACTATCACACCAGTCGCAGTTGAATAATAATGGAGCTCATGCTCGGGACATCACTGCCTGTTAAATAATCGGCTGTTGACGCCAGTGCTGTAGCCGTATGAGAAAGTAGAAAGAACCAGTGATGCCAGTGCTGCATGATTTCAAATTCCCACGTCAGTGGCGTGTTCTGTATATATTTGTAAATGTGAACTTTGAATGACGCTCTCTGCGTTTGTTCTGTACACACTGCGGTGCCATGACTATAGCACATTAGGAATCATAGCCTTAATGGAAAAAAAACGAAATAAATGTCTACCTTTGCATAACCACGCGAGGGCGCGCTCTGCTGGGTGTATTATTTTTCACCTCATGTGCCATCAGGCTGCATATTCGCGTATTCCGAAGTTGTACTTCTTAATGTTTCCCTCACCACGGGTGTCTACCTAACTACAATGTACACCGTTACGTTATTACGGCTGCCCTCTCTTGTCATTTCTTGTAATGGTCTGTGTCTTTTAGCGCCTAAAATAGTTATACTACGCAGCACTACAATTAGTTTGTTTGCTGATCTGTCGTAGTTTAAAAACTGAGCGACACCGCTTCATAGCAGGAAACAAATTAATAGATTCTCGAAATCGACCCACCGTTCCAAGAAGTATGAAGGCACTAAAAAGCACAATTTGCGCCTCGAAACAACACACGAAATTAATTTTCCATATCTCAGAAAACGGACATCACCCCAGGCTCGCTCCTGTGGCCACGATGCGATGGCGATGTTTGCATCTACTCCGCGATCGGCCGAGACACGCTACGCATTCAGACGGCGACACAAGGTACATGCAAACGGTCCTCACCGATCTAACTCGCAGAATCGGTCGGCTTGTGGCCATCAAATGCAGCACAGAGAAAGTGATTGGTCAAAAAGCACAGATGATGGGTGACTTGATTGATATGGGGGGTTTAACGCCCCAAAACTACCATACGATTATAAGAGACGCAGTAGTGGAGCGCTCCGGAAATTCCCACCACATGGGGTTCTTTAACGTGCCACCCAAATCTGAGCACACGGGTCTACAGCAGATGATGGGTGCCTAATCACTTGACGATGGGTGACCAATCACAAGGGGGTGATGACCACAACCCACTTCTAACCACGTGTATTATTGCATATTATATCACGTCACTATCCTAACAGCGGAGCCGTAAGCGAATCGTTCCTTGTGAGTAGATCGCAGAAAATCCATCATCATCTTAACGGGTACGTGCTACTGTGCGGCCTACCAGAAAGTTATCACCTTCATAAAAAGGCCGCATAAATTGGGCACTACTCACAACTGGTCTAATAAAATGAAGAATGCAACGGTTAGCCCTACAAATATCTTTGAAGCGACGGCGGTGAGCCGGAGAACCCATGGAGATAGGCGTACAACGTGAAAGGCAAAGGCGGCTGCAAGAAGACCTAGAAGCGCTATACGGACACGTCATCGTTGGCCTACGTGCCCGCAGATCTGCGATAGGCGCGAATGCTTGGTTTCAGCGTGAGTGACCGTCTCTGGAGTTCGGACAACCGGGTCGTGTCTGTGGTTTAACTCGGACATCTCTGCGCTAAGAACCAACACTGAAGTAGCCCAGACGCAACCAGATCAGTTCTTCAGAATTGTCCAGTTGCACTGGTTGGATGGTTCCTCAACACCTTGGCGCAACCCGCCTAGGGGGATGGGCCATGAATGGGACGGTGCCTTGCATTTTAAATTAATTCACTTCTTGAAAGGGAGGGTTGGATTAATTAGGTAATTACTTAAAGTTGTTAGATTACTGTTTCAAGCCTTGAGCAGCATATTGCAACTTCACCACTTCTTTCTTTCTTAAGGAATGCTGAACGAAAACTGGAAAAACTGGCGAAACTTCAAATTCGACTCGGAAGATGCCGCTCTTCCAATAAACGGGGGTTTGTTTCCCGTAATTTTGAACAGTTTGTTTTATCTTTTTTGAATTGTCATCGTGCGGCGGAGGTTCGCGAGCGGGAGCCACGACGTCAAACTCACCAAGGAACATGCAGGATGCACGTGTTCTTGTCCTCCTCTTCCTTTTCTGCACCTCTCCTTTCATCCCACTCTTTCCCGTCCACAAAAGGGCTGGTGCTTTGTCCCAGCCGGAAGCATTGTCCGCTGCTGTTGCTGTTTGCACCGGTTTTGGGAACCGATGTGGTAGTTGAGCGCGTCGAGATACGCGGGCGACGGCTGGATTATTATTTTTTTTTTTATTGTTGACCTTCCCGTTTTGATGTGCGTGACGTCACCAAACGCCACCTTCTCTAGTTCGCGGCGCGGCCGCTAGACGCGGCAGTTTGAGAAAGATGGATTATTTTATTATTTCCCCGTAGTTTCTGCCTGGAATGAAGGTTGTCTTTATCGATTTCAGAATCCAATCTTTCCAGTTGGCTGAAAATTTGGCGGCAAAAATTTTGTTCAGTATCCCTCTAACGTACGCTGCTAAGCACGTTTTTCACATTCGCATCGCTGTGCGTGCAGTATCTCGTGTGTATTTCTTTATCAGCGCACCTCCTCACCTCAGGCTCCATCGCAGCCTTAAGCATGCGTTGAGCTTTGTGTACGCGTGTGCGCAGGGGGGGGGGGGGGGGGTATTCAGCGTGATACCATTTGTCCTCGCCTTTTGTCTCATGCATGTTGTGTGACTGTGTACAAGATTTCAACTTTATGAAAACGTTTATCTTTATGTCATAATACTTCACAACAGTTACAAATTTCGGAAAAAATTAACGTGCGGAGCACAATACTTAGTTATCCGTTTCATTATTTCAATATATGTACGAGAGAATAACTTGGAATGCATTTATTGTTCTGTCTTCCTCGAGATTCTATACCATCAAGGTTGTCACCACTAAATCATTGGAAAAAAGCCAATATTTATTGACTATGAAGAGCGAGTTAACAGTAGTTGTGTTTTTATGTCACAAAATCACCATATCATCATGAGGGGCGTCCTAGTGGAGGGCTCCGGAAATTTTGACTGCTTGGTGTTCTGTAATGTGCACATCTATACTGACGAGCTTGTAGCATTTCGCCTTCATCAGAATGCGGCCGCGGCCGGGATTCGATCCCCCAACCTTCGGGTCGGCAGCCACTACACCATCATGGCAGACCCAAATAGTGAGTTCGCGAATCCGGTAAGACAAGAAAACTTATTCGATTCGCATTTTAAATTACAGTTGCTCGCGCTCTTTCAAATACAACACACCTACATACCAAACGGGGTTTATTTCCGGTAATTTTGAACAGTTTGTTTTATATTTGATGGATTGTCAGCGCACGGCGGCTTCTCGTGAACGGACGTCTAACTCACCGAGGAGCTTTCGACCGCAGTAGCCTGCCGCATCCTGACTGGCTCGGCTACTGAGAACACTTCCTTTTCCTCTTTTTTTTTTCTTTACAGCATATTTGTTATGATCGAGGTTCGCCGTCGGTCGTATGTAGAAAGTTATCATCATCGTAAACTGTGCGGAAAAACATTTTGTGAAACAAGAAAAAAATGCTAGAAAGATTATTTCTAGGAAAGCGAAAAACTTCGACTTCTTCTGCTACTGCTGCTTCACACCCACAATGCGTGTGCCAATTTGTCCGGCGTGGATGCAGAGCAACGATGGGTACGTTACGTGCTTTAGATCAAGAAAATGCCTTGTGAAAATTAGTCACAACACTAAAATAACGTAACAGCACGTAAGAACTAGTTACGTGGCTAAATACCATGTAACATCCCGTAAGAGCACCCACACGACGAAAAATCATGCATAATCACGTAATCAGTAACTTGACCGAAATCACGTCATATACGTAATGTTTGCAGTTAGCATTTAAACTTATATTTCGTGGTTCTGCGCAGATACTAGTTTCTTATGTAGTGCAGTTGTATTGCAGTAAACATTGGTTGTTAGTTCAGCAATATGTCCGTGTCTTCTGCTCGTCCCGTTTTTATCGCTGTTTTATCCTACGTCTACATCATGTAACAATTAATCAAGTGGTTAAATATCGCATAACATCACGAACATCGAGTTACGCGACTTAAAATTGCGTAACATCAATTGACAACTTGTCACGCGACTAAAATCAATGCAACATTACATAACGAATAGTTACGTGGCTAATACTACGTAATACCCGAGGCAGCTAATCACATAACCAAAAAACCACGTACCATCCCGTAGCAACTAGGCACCATATAAAATAACTGACGCTTAGGATACTGTCGAATGCAAATTCGGAGCACCGATGCTAACGTGTTTTGATTTGGGATAGGTTGGGACAAACAATTTGAGATAAACATATATATGTAGGTAAAGTGGCATACTGATTTATTTTACGCAACTCTCTCTCTCTCTCTAAGGAACACACGTCTGCCAGCCTTTTCTTGTAATGAAGAAAGCTTTGTGGTCGGAGAAGTGAGCGGAGATATGATTGATTGATTGATATGTGGGGTTTAACGTCCCAAAGCCACCATATGATTATGAGAGACGCTGTAGTGGAGGGCTCCGGAAATTTCAACCACCTGGGGTTCTTTAACGTGCACCCAAATCTGAGCACATGGGCCTACAGCATTTTCGCCTCCATGCGGAGATATGTACGACTTGCTGTACCAATGCCTGGCTCTCAAAAACAAGGTCTATGCAAATGTTTTGCGAGGTCTTCACATCAGTGGAATGATTGACGATGGAGAGGAACAGATTTGTTCTCGTTCGCAAGTGGTAGGAAGGTGTCGTTCATTTTTATGTTTATATTGAAATCGCCCACGACTGAAAATGGTGTGGGTCAATGTGCAGTTAATGCGAGGCGCAGGAACTATACGACGTCTTTAATAAGCGCGGTGGGCGGGAAAAACAGAGCCACTAATAGCAAACCGTTGTCCGATTTCGCAGCGCACAGTTCCCCAACTTTATCTCTAG